TAGCTCATGATGAAGTAATTTGTGAGCGTATGTGTGTTTGTGTGTACAGAAAGGGAAAAAGATTGTGTATCGCTTCACAAGCCTGATCAAACACTGAACACATGTTCTGTTGCCAGAACCCTTGTGACAACGGCAGATCTGGCATACACACATGTGGACACACACACACACACACACACACACACACACACACACACACACACACACACACACACACACACACACACACATACACACACACACGGCTTGATGAGTAGCAGTCAGTGCACTCTGGTCTTCCGTGTGAGCAGGTTAGGTTACCCTGTTCTTCTGGATGACAGGAGGCGACAGGAATAATCTTTTCTCCGTAACCTCAGAGCAGCGAGGAACGGCTGAAGGGGCTGCTTTGGATTTGAATCTCAGCCTCTCGAAAATAGATTTAGTGGCTGAATGTTAACTGTGCGGAATAGACGGATGCTACTCTGCAGTGATGTATTTAGTTTCATCCCTTATCTTATATTTCTTCCCGCTTTGTGTCGTTTCAATTGGTGTTAGGGTGTGTTAATCCTTTTAATCACTCAAACTAGCCTCTTTGAGCCTCAAAAGGGGGGGGGGGGGGGGTTCACTTGCACTGAATTGAATGGATGAGTGGATGTTTAACTAAACTAATCTCAGCTAACCTACTGAGGCCCGACATACAGGGATGTAAACTAATTGTAAACTGTAGATCATTTACATCAAATAACAAACAGGAAGTAACTTTGCTTGTTTCAACACAGTGCGAGACTTGACTAAGTGATGTATTTAACCACATCTCTGACGCTATGTGTTTTATCTACAGGAGTCTTCAGATCCACGAGATGACAGGCGTCTCTCATACCCGCTGGCTGCAGGAGCAGAGGGGGCAGGAGGGGGGCGATGGGCTCGGGGGGCCGCTGAGATACTCAGACCCCTGCATCTTCTGGCTGCACGCTGACATGGAAGGTGAGGATTCCATTGGATTTCAATTCACTGTTTTTGCTGGAGCTGCAAGATTTGGAAAAATAAGTAATGCGATTATTTTTGACTGATCCTGCCATTGCGATATGATTCATGGTATTGGAGGGGTTTATCATTTTTTTAATTATTGTCTCATTATCATTATGGTTTGATTATTTTAAGGGGATCTGTACCAAACAAATATGTTTTTTTAAGGATATAGAATAAAATGAGTTGGCTGGGAAATATTTGCTCCCTCGCAATTTTTTAATTTTTAACGCATAAATACCCAAATATTCTGCTTCCTGCAATTAGAATATCACACTATTTTATATTGCGATTTGATATAATTAAGATTAATTGTGCAGCTCTTGTTATTCAAACAACAACAATGGCAACATTGCTAAAGAGCTATAATAGTTTAGATAATTTTCTACATTGATCTGTCTTATTTAGCTGGTGCAATTGTTATATTTCTCCCTCTGTGTTCCTCCAGCTCTAGACAAGCGGCTGGATACTCGTGTGGATGAGATGTTGTCTGCTGGACTCATAGATGAGCTCAGAGACTTCCATGTTTGCTTCAATCAGCAGAAAGTCCAGGATGACAGGTAACCAGTGTTGGGACTAAGGCGTTACTGTAACGCCGTTATTTTTGGCAGTAACTAGTACTCTAACGCATTATTTTTCAAATTCAGTAACTAAGTTACTGTTACTACATGGTGCGTTACTCCGTTATTTTTTTTATATAGTCTCGGCTCCCAGACGTTGGTGAGCGGCGCGAACAGAGATGAGAACTGTACTTAAGTACAGTACTTGAGTAAATGTACTAAGATACTTCCTGTGTCACATGCGGAGACGCGCTGTGGGCGTGTTTGTGTGTTTACTAACAAGACTATCACGGCGGCTGCGGAGCTCAAGTCGAGTTTCTCCGCCTGGAGGTATTCTCACTATTTCACTTTTGTCGAGCACAAAGAAAAGAACGTTTTAGTTAAATGTAAGTTGTGTCTTGGCGGGTCAAAGATCCTATCTACTGCCCAAAACAGCAATTCAAATATGTTGAAACATCTGCAGAAACAACATGCTGGGACGAAGCTAGTAGCCTAGCTAAGACCACAGACCCAGACTCATCCGACGCCACTCCACCTCCACCTAAGCAACAGCGGCTGGATTTTAACCGAGGGACTGCTAGCCAGGAAAAAGTTGATAAAGCCATTGCACGGTATGTTGTAGAACACATGCAGGCTATTTCTATTGCTATTTCTTGATCAACAGATTGTATTATTCTCCAATCCAATAACAGTACTGAAATGAAGGCTATAAGGGCATTAATGGGAGCCCTTCTTTTAAGTAACTAATGCGTTACTTTTGGGTGTAAGTAATCAGTAAAGTAACTGAGTTACTTTTGAAATGAAGTAACTAGTAATGGTAACTAGTTACTGGTTTTCAGTAACTAGCACAACACTGGTGTTGAAACAGGAGGTCGATTATTGAATTCTCCAAACAACTCTAGAGTGTTGCCAGTGTTACAATCTCTCTTTCTGTGGATCACTCACTGGCTGTTGCTCAGTTGGATGTGGCTTTGACTGCGCGCAATCGAGGCGGGAGACCAAGTCGGAGGAGCATACCACCACATTCTATTTGGATACTACTTCTACTTCAGCTACATACATACTAATGCTTTTACGGCTGCTGTATTCGCTCCACGTGCTGGGTAATATTTGCTGCTATTATTAGCCAGGGTTGTTTAGCCTAACCTCTTTGTAATATCATTACAAAGTCTGTCATTGGGGCGTTTAGCTCCATGTGTTAGTAATATTAGCTGCTATTGTTAGGGTGTTGAGCTTCAAGTGTTAGTACGTTTCAGTGCTTCCCACAGAATTTTATTCTATTTGTGGGGGCACCGCACCCCCCTCAATCACATGCGAGTTCATGGCTACTGTAGATAACGTTCTTGTTGCTCTGTGTTGCGTTGT